TGCGTGCATTTATTATTGCAATTTTTGAAGAAGTGACAAAAATGCGAGATTATTTATTGCGATTTCAGGAAGATCTGCATTCTGATAAATGTATCAGAAATCATAATGCAAGTTCCTATTATTGCGAACGTCACCCAGTCGCGTTATTAGCATTAATAAAAACCTTGCAATTAGTTCTGAATTTACAGTAGTCAGTTATTACGTTGAGAGAATTATGCTAATGCTTATGGTATCTGAATGTTCTAGGTATATACAGATTATAACAGCATTGGAATTCAAGTATTTATAGCTAGCTGCAATGGTGGGTACTTTAACGATTCTCTTCAACTATAAGCTTGTGTGTTTGTAGTATCAAAACCATTGCAACTCGTATTGGTCTATTTATTGTAATAAACATGAAGAACAACAATAAACGCGCTGTATTTATGTTCTTGGTTTTCCAAGTGCTTGTAGGGATTTTGTGTAATGAATTGATACACCATAGCCTTTCTTTTCAATAATTACATATATGTAATGATGTACAATAAAGCACCAGTTCTCTCTCATACCTTTATTATTTGTGCTGAATGTTTAAATATATGTTAGAAAAACATATTGCAGCAGGTGTAATTGTCGTTTGTTGTCGATTAATTTACTGTATATGGCTTACATCTCTTACATTTTAACATTTTCAATTATTAATAGACTGTTTTTTTTTATAAATAGGGAATGTTCGTTAATGAGACAGCAATCCAATGACACAAATAATAGAAAGACATTTACATATATGTAGCAGTAAAATTACTAGTTTTACCTTCAACATCAGACAGGTGTCTATACAATTTGTTTAGCTTAAATTTGATATTGACCAACACATGGTCCAGATAGCCCGACTTGCAAACTTCTACGTCATTTGGTCTCTAGTGGAGAGTTGTCTCATTAGTAATCGTACCACATCGTCGTATTTTTGATATGGGTACAGGCACGAAAGTACGAGGTATGTTTTCTGCACACATCCCCGTGTTTTGTCTATCTATAATATCTGTAGCAAAAGTAAAACTCTGATTAGATAGAAGTGCATCAAATAAATGCATCATATTTGTTATAAATGTTTTGTTTTTATATATTTCACAGATACTGTTACAACCATGATGACATCTACAGACTTTATGAAGGATTATGAAGAAACAGTATATTTAACAGTGAATTGTATACTTACACATAAAAAACTGAGATCAGGCTTACAAGTTTAATACAATTCTTATAAATTTTCAACTGTGTTGAATAATAAATATTGTTACTTGGATGGAGAGTTGTCTCATTGGCACTCATACCACATCTTCCTATATCTATTGCATGCAATTGGAAGTTGTCATTTTCTACATACATTTTGTACCATTCCTTTCACCGTGTGTTTATTTATAAAAGAGGATCGTCATAAAGAAAACCATCGATCGATTACCCTTTCTTTGAAATTCGATGACATGAAGTGGCCACGCACATGATTGAAATAAAGGCCAGGCATACTTATGTACTTTTTATACATTGTGACTGGGATGGAGAGTTGTTTCATTGGCACTTATACCACATCTTCTTATTTATTATGTGACCCCAATGGATTGTATAGTTTGTAAGTCCTGAATATAATTATGTTACCTGCTATGTTAACTGTATGTGTTGTCATGATTCTCAAAATTCAAATTAACATACAATTTGACATAACAATATGCTCCACAAATTACTGCTGTTTCAGGTCTATTACCAGCACTTGAAGTTTGAAACCATTTTTACATCACTAGTATTTAAAATCACCATACATATGTAGATGTATACGTACCAAATCAAAAGCTTCAACATAAAAACATCTGTCAGTTTCTAAAAGGTGGGGACATGTAGTCATAGGAGAGTGCAGTCATAGGAGAGTGCAGATAGCTTGGTTGAAGGCACTTGCACTTGTCTCTGAAAAATTCCTATATATATTTTTCAAAAATGCGAGTTAAGTACCTTGTGTTACATTAAGGTATATAGGAATATTTTTTCTGAGACAAGTGCCTGTAGATGAAGGTGCTAAACTTCATTTTCAATAGATCAATAAAAAATAATTAGCAGGTGCTTTCGACATCAATTATATTCGACTAGGATTACCAGTTTTCCTTCCGAAGGTTGGCGAATCTCTCCGGACACTCTGGCTTCTTTCGATAAAAACTGGCGCATCGATGTAATCAAGAGTGCTGAAAGTGGCGTTAAAACATCAACCATCAACAATAAAAAAGTAAAGATTTTTTATGATTGTAAGTCATTAACTATTTCTGAATAATCATTTTTAATAATCATTTTTAATAATCATTTTTTGTTCTCTTGGTGTCTTTTCTCCCTTTTTAGGAATGATAAAGATTATTTTTAGATAGAAATATTTTAAAAATATAACCATGACATATATCGAGCCTAAAATACATCTTGTTGCTCCTGGTTTACTTTCGATATTTAAATAGGTTTTAATATTAGGTAAAGAACTGATACATTTGGATAAACTAAGTAAACATTGAGGATAATTAGACTTTTGTCTTTTGTTTGTTTTTTTGTCGTAGGGTTGCTGTGACATTGAGATAGACCCAATGTTTGCTGAATTAATTTTTACGAGGTGAATTTGATATTAAAGGGAAAAATATAACGTGAGGGTACCCAAATTGCACCTATTTTGACAGTTTTTTCACCTACGTTTATTTATGATCCAGACAAAAGTTTCCATTCTGTGTTTATTTTGTAGATGTATCCTTATTTACTATATAGTTACACCAATTTGAATTTGAATCCATATTGAATCATATAAAAATGGGTTTGAACCAACCTCCAAACAATCCATATTTCTGTAATGAGGAGTACCCAAATTGCATCCATGCTTAAATTCACATCCTTAAAAATCGAATAACAGATGTTTTGTTTTATTTCTTCAAATATTTAGAACAATTTGACATTAGTCCATGCTTACTATTCATTTTTTAAGAAATGAATGCTTGTAAAATATTTTATTTTCTCGTTTTTAAAAGATGACTCTTTGTGGACGTCGCATGGCGACGTTCTGAAGATGTTACTTTTTCTAGTGAATACATCATCTGTTGATATATTCTGTGAACGTTTTGTGTATATTTAAATATAGGCTACCTATGTTGAAAGACGTGTATAATGTCAAATCATAATAATACCAATTGTTTAGTCTCAAAGAAAAATTGTAAGATTTTCGCTGCTATTTTTGCTGAATAGGTGCAATTTGGGTACTCTGACGTTAGGGAGAAGGCGTTTAGAAACGACAAATTCAAGTACATGTAAAACATACAATGCCATGGACAACATGGAAACTTGCTTATGTTAAATCAAGAGAACTTCGATTAATAAATTACTTTTTTCTTTTCCAATTTCTATTACTTTGTAGTATGCATACATATATATATATATATATATATATGACTCTTAAAGTTTCTAGAAAGTGATGCCTATTTCTATAAGCCGTGTTTCAAGAACAACTTAAAATGTCTACTTACTATTCATCCAATAAAATATAAAAGGGAAAATATTTTTTCTACACATAAATAAAAGGAGATGATTGGTTTATGCAATTGAGACAGAAACCCTAAAAAGATATGCATGTACATGTGTATCAAAACAACATATAGAAGTCAACACAACGTGTTAATAAATAGACAATGGTCTGTATAACATGTCTAGTTCAGATTACTAGTAGTCTTGATATTGAAATGAAATGGTGAATAATGATAAAAAATATCACGGAGTTTACATTGAGACTATTTTTCTTTCCCAGTAATTTTACGAACATGTCACCTGCTTTCTGTACGACAGCACAATCGGATCTTTATGTCTACAGCTAAACACACACAAATTAGAAGCACAAGTAGTGGCTTACAACAGTATATACTTCTTAGAAGGTTATTTTCAATACTTCTTCAGACAGTGAAGCACACCTACTGTACGTATGAAGAAACACAATGGTTTTTGTCTATTTACTTGCACATTGTGATCAATAAACAGTCTGTCGGGAAATAGGACTGTCAATACACATGAAAGTAAGGAAGGATAAGAGCACATCAGGAATCTACATCGACAGATCCCCATGTATGTTGTTTCAGACGATTTTAGAATAGCCTGATACTTTTCTTTCAAGAGACTTTGATTAATCAATCCGTATTTGATGAATAGATTTTTCCGTGGATTACAAATGTTATGCATCCTGTAAAACTAGAAGGATTAATATCTCCTCAAGCAAGGGTCTAACTTGCGGTTCATATAGCCATGTTTTCACCCAAAACACCTGTTTGCTACTTTTCAGTTAAATTCATAACATTTGGTAGGTTTGCTAATTTTATATTTATTATACCTAATATCGTTGTTATCTCGTTTGAACTGAAATAACGATATTAGTTTTATTGTCAGCTACATGTATTTGAAAAATATAACAAACTGCAAACTGGTGTAGGTACATGCAATACAACAAAAATAGCATTGCAACATAAAAGGTACATGTACACTCAAAGAAAAAGTTTATTATGAAATCTTTTATCTATTTTAGATAATAACGCATGAAATATTTTTGATTCAAAACTGAAAAGGAAAGTGGAAGACTTTTATGCTTACAAATGTATATTCTTATATGCAATACAAGTTATAATAGACTTAACAATGGTACAAGTACCATTTAGACGTTCAAAAATAATTATTTCATTAAATTTGGTAATTTTTATTTTGAAAAATTGGTCCATACTTCTCAAAATACTGTATTCATTTTTTTCAACGATTGTAAGAATATTGTTATATGCATAATAAATGTTTCAAGTTTAACGTCGATAATGACATATTCCATGTAACGAATCTTAAACAATTTTTGACAATTAAATACCTGATCTGGGGGTATTGTTTGACAATTTCTCTTCAACTGTTTCTAATCAATTGTTAATGTTAAAACTATATTTAATGGTTCATTGGTTAACATTTGATTGTTTTAAACAAAAATGGCGACAGTTATAATTCAGTTTTGTAATCGTTGTGAAGAAAGGAAATATTTAAAACTATGTAAGAAGTGTCTACAGTATTTATGTAGTGATTGTAAGCGTGAACATTTCTGTGGAGTATCTGCAGCACCTCCGACTATCTATAGTTCGAGTGAACACTTGATAAAGAGCATCGACAATAAACCATTCCAATGTCGGACTCATTTGAAGGAAGTCGTCCGTTTTTGTTTTACTTGCACTCTCCAGCTGTGTGAGGAATGCCTAGATAATGATCTCTCTCAGCATAAAAATCACGTGATATACAATGTAGATAACGCTGCTAAAGAGATACGAAGGCAAACAGATGAAAAAATCGCATCACTTAAAGTGAAGATAGAAAAGGCTAGAAGGCAGAGACATGAACTTGATAAACAAAGGTTCAGTTCTACAGAAAGACAGAATACTAGACGGCAGGTCATTAACCTCGCCTCTAATCTTGCCTCTGCCATAGTCGCCGCTATTGAAGACCAGGCACGATTAGATAAAACAGTGGCTGCCGAAAGTGTTACAAAGCTTCAGAAGACTATTGATGTATGGACGGACACCAACCGTACACTTCATAAAATTTCTACAGCACCTCACAACCTAGAAAATATCCATCTTTTCTGTAAATATATAAAAGTTCATGAAAATTTAGATTTACCTTCTATTAAGACAAGAGCTGATTTTCCTGATGATAGAAAATTCCAACACTCAGAACTTGTCCAAACCGAGTTAAGATCATTAGTGGAATACTTAGAAGCATTGTAAGTATGAGTCGCATGTAACGTGAAAATGTAATCTACACATTTGGTGTTATACATAAAACAATTGCATTTATTTCATATTATCTACAACAACCATAAATAGTCTGAAGTCAATTGTATATAATACTGGTATATGTCAATTGTGATAGAAAAATTCCAAATGACTTTCCTATTTGAATTTCATTGTATCAACGCTATAAATAAAAAGATACAAAACAAAATGCACTTCAATTTCATAAATTGAAATAAATTCTATTCAAATTTAGTCGGGTTTCGGGATCATAAATCAATGAACTGCAGATACTCGAAATTTCGAATAATAATATATATAAAGCAACCCATTTGCAAAAATATCAGCTACCATGATATTTTTGTATATGATGGGTGGTTTTCTTACATTGTACATCCTAATGTGTAAACGGGAGTTTTAACATCAGTTAGTTTCAAAATTCTCTATCCCCCTTTAAATCAAAAGAACAAAACAAAACAAAACAAAGGAGTTTTTTCCCTTTGATTTCAGTAAGTACCTATTTGGCAGTACTTTAAATCAACATTGCTTATCCAAAAGGCTCTTTTAATTTTCTTGACGCATGCTTTGAAAGCCGGCTCATTAGTTTTTAGTTTAAAAAGATTTTGTCGCCCAGTTTTATTTCATAACACTAAATTGGGTTTCGCCCTAAACATCATAAAATAAAAATGTATAATAGTTTACAATCTATAATCTAAAAAGTATCAACACATTTTTCAAATCTTAATCTGCGTCCAACGTAAGTGCTTAATTAAAATACAAAGACACAACAACGTTGTATGTACACAGACAGTTCTAGCGGAGACCTGTTCAAACGAAGAAAGACTGAGTTATCAAACAAACATGTATACTTCATACCCCCGCAATTGAAATCGAGGTACCATAATAAAGATATAAATAGACAAAGAAAACAATTTCACATTCAGTTTTAAAGAGAACTTTTAGGGATAACGTGTGATACTAACCATTCCACAATACAAACAGTTACTAGTTTATGAATAAAGTGTCTTGATATTTGGAACCTTTCTGCTGCTCGATCGAATTATAAAATTTTTTTATTAAAAATATCGAACTCCAAGGTAAATCAAAAAGGGGAATTTCATAAAATTAACTGACAAAATTAAATGCTAGACCTACGGAACGATGGGAAATGCCATATGCCTGATTGGAAACAGGTATTTTCCGATTGAAAAGGGTGAGTTTAATCTGATATTACACACGGTAGTTGGAGCGTTGAATTTACGGTATTTCGAAGCGCTACTATGACATAGCTATAGACAACTCAGTCTTTTACTTTCATGAAATACAGAGTGATGCGATTTTACCTTTTTTATATTATTTTCTTTGACAGAACTGGTATCAATGTTCCGTTGCCTGTGAAAACGCAAGAAGAAATAGAGAGGTGAAGATTAACCAATTTAATGATGATAGATGACTGCTGAACGTTCAGCGGCAAATTAAATGCATATTAAGGACGAGAAAATGTTAATGTCATATCAATATTAATCCTACCTTTTCCTCACCGACATACCGAGCCGGATGATTAACGTGCTAGTTCACAAGGTAACAGTCCACAGGAAGACAGGTCACCCAACCCGGACATATCATCTGACTCAAAGCCGACCATTATTTATTCTTACTCCTACATGCCGCGTGTTTAGTGGAGATGCAACAACTATCAATTTTAAAGTTTTTGGTTTGACCCGGGCGGGGTTCAAACCGTCGACTCCTGACACCCGAGGCGAAAACGCTCCCACAAGACCACCGAGAGAGGCATATAAGTAAAATGCTATCTATAAACAAAAATGACTGGTTCTTAATGAAAAAGTGAACGTTTTCATTTATGTACAGTATATACATAACAAAATGAACCATTTATCTGGCTCCCGACACCAACAGACACTTACCCACATGGTATAGCTTGAATAGTTGAATGTGGCGTTAAACATCAACACATAAACTGAAATATGTACATTAGATTAAATACGATTAGATACGGACAATTATTTTTACAGCCGGTATTGCTAAAAGTAATTTTTTTCCCCAAGGTTTCGGGCATATACACGATATCATGAGTAATATGTTCACTTAATATATATTATTGCATAAAATTCTTGAATGTTTTAGACTTGCAACCGCCTATGATAGAGAAATTACAATGGTTGATTTGGCTACTAACCCAGCGTCCAGACCACAATCGAGAATTAGTATTAAGACAAACATGACAGCGACAACCATGCTGACTAAATACGAAGAAGATTCCATCATGTATATCAAAAGTGAAAATCAAGCTTTGAAAATGGAACTCAGGTATAGCATTTAATGTTTAACTGTTATTAATTCATGTATTCTGCAGTACGAAATATGGTTAGTCGGAATGGCTTACATATATTAGCATCCATAGATGATGGATCTTATGTTTAGCGCTCCTTAACAAACATTGAATACTCTTGAAAACTTTATAAACACGAAGGTCTGAAATATAAACAGGAAATTAGCAGATATTTTTTTTATGTTTATAATCTTAGACATTTACCTTCATCAACCGAAGCTTTGAAACATTAGATCCATCGACATAGCATGTTTATAGATAAATTTGTGTTATAATTTGTTGCAGTAAACTCAGAAAACAGACAAAAGAAATGATGCATGCTACATCACTTCTATCTAACTACTGCACAAACGCGATGAAGTTTTCCTTGATGCAGGAGGATGATATATTGGAAGCTCTGAGAAAACCAATGGTGGACGATGATGAATTATCCGAGTTCTATCATAGTATCTCATCTGTTGGACATTCCTTCTCAAAACTGAAGAGCAAGATGTAAGTGAACAATGATTTCTAGATATGATCAGATATACAGGATGAATGAAAAATAAAATGACTCATGCGATATTACGAGACTATGCGTTGTCCTCTAGATGACTGTTGATGTATTGTGTTGTAAGGTTAATGACGCATTAACGTAATGAACGCCCTATCTTTCATTCAGATATTCAAATTAAGGCTATAGAATATATCTCTAGGAGACAGTGGTAGTCCAATAATTCAGAAAAAGGTACTCTTAAAGACAATAAGATTCACATACGTTTTTCGACAATACACAAATTAAGTTTCCGAACAATATTTCAAGCTCTAACCACAATGAAGACTGGGGAATAGAAAAATGACCATTCTTTGGTCATCTTGCGACCAGCAGTTAAACTCTTGCCAATGTTGGTCGACCGTTTGGTTGTGTGGGATGTAAAAATACACAACTACACCCCGTTAGAATGGGGAAGTGAAATCCTATACCACTCTGCACGCTAAGAACCCTTGCAACACCTCTTTGAGGGATCCGTTCGTGGCCTGTTGCAAGGTCCATATCCAAAAACCCTCATTTTCCAGTGGCCTTTCAACTTTCCTGCCCTTTATACCAGTCAACTGCTATTACATGATATATCTTTTGTATTTATTGTTAATTTGTTTTCGTCCTGAAACTGCATGAAATATTTGCCACTGGACATTAAGCAAACATTAATTTATCAATTAGTCAAGCTCAAATCGACACCCAGTGTATACAAAGCGTCTTAACAATTTTAAACACAGAATTAACGCTGATTGGCAATTTTCACTAGCTGATCTTATCATATGATTTAGATTTATCTTCAGGATTGCATATTCGTTGAATATGTTTCATTAAAAGTGAAAACTCAATTTCAAAAAAACTTTACATGTACATTTAATATATCGGAGTAGTAGTTAAAGATAAAAACAACTTTATTCGTAAAAGGCATATTCTACACCGGCAAAATTTTCGTTTTTAGTAGACAATTATACTAAACAATAAAGAAATATCAAAACACAACCACAGGGCATAATACATACTCTTTTTAATTTATTAGAATTAACAATTGTATTTTATATATAATAACATGTATTATGTACACATTGACATTATCAATAAACGTTATACATGATCTGCAATAAGTAACAAGTGTATATTGTAGACTGAATGTTGAAAGTACTGATATGGGATCCTTTGAAGACCTCCAAAACAACACTGATGACACAAAAAGTATCCAAACAAGGTAAATAAATATATATTAATTAAAATGATATGTTCACAGACATCAATTAGGCAACTATCTGTTTTGAATCAACTCAAATCGTTGTACTATATTAATTTTATGAATACATTTTACCTTTCAGGATTTTTTTTTTAAATATATTATTCCATAAATATATCTATGATAACAAACTAGTAATAAAAGAAGCAAAGAGAAAAAGCACAAAAGTAAACAATCACCATATAGAACAATGTTCCAATCCTCGAGTTAAAACGAATTAATGATTTAACGCAAAAGATGTTACCAGTAGTGGACTGGCGCCTTTTTTACACTGTTCATCCCTACAGTATGAACAGTCAAAACTCAAATACATGAATAAAAACTTAATGAATATAAAAGTGTATATAATTAAGTATGAATTATCCAAATAAACTTGAATATTGGTACCACAACGTTTCTAAAACCTACTTCAAAAATTCAACAAATCATAGACTGAAGCAATAACCCAGCAAAGATATAATGTAACATACCTATAATTTGGTACGACAGACGCGATTTTATTTTTAAAAAGACTTCTGTGGCACCCAAATACGTATAGCAGTAACCACTTCACAAATATATCTGTTATTTAGACATAACACAGAAAGAACGTTCATTTTCCAAAAATTTTGAAAAGCCGCCATCTGTTATGCGTTTAAAATTCCCAAGAGAGGTTATATTATAGATTAGATCATCTCTCTCCTTTCAACTGTATTGACTAATTTCTTTGATATTCCATGAAAAGTTTCAACATTACCATTTTTATTCCACAGGATGTCTATTGAAACTGTAGCCAACCACAGCATAGCAGAAACTGTTTCAACTACTATCCATGACAAAGTCAGCGAGTTACCTCCCATATCACAGAAGAGCAGTAGACCAAACAGCATTATTTACATGTACTCTAAATTGTATGATAACGAATGGAGTGATGCCTTGGACATGCTTACACAGTCTGGAAAACGATGGGCTATGGACCTCGTTATAAAACATCTATACATAGTCATAAAGGTAAACTAGCTTTATCATTTGTTGTGTTTTACCAAGTTTAAAGCCATAAAATATGAAATATGTATTACTTGGAATTTAAATTATTTTACCAAATACAATACATGAGTATATTTCCTATGCGATTTTTGTTGTTGTTTGTACATGTATACTAAGGGGAAGTTTTGAAGGTGTTTTTATCAAAGTTTATTTTATGTTGCAATGACTCGTCTTTTTTAATATTGAGGAAGATTTTACTACCGTGTGCTGTTCGTTGCTGAACAATACACTTTTGATTACAAAATTCTAACAATTTTGCATATTTTGGGTAAATAAATGCGTATTTTCAATTATCATGCTTACTAAATTTGTTTTCAATTGCTTTAATCATACTAGTACTGCATTTCCGATATTCTTTTAATTCTTTGTCAATGGATTGTGCTTCGTAAACGTGTGTATGTGTATTCCAGGCTTGTTACAAACTGTGTAAACATATAGAAGAGCAACAGCTACAAGATCTGATTGATACAGTGTTTCTCTCAAATAATGGCAGAAGGGTGAGTTTATGACTAAAATCTAGATATTCTTGCAACGATGCATTTGAGAAGAGAAATTTGCAAAATAAAGTGATGTGATGTGATTCCATACGAGACAATTATTCAACAAAGAGAAAATTACGTGAAGGTATAGTTTCTATTTGGTCCGAGTACACAGTTATCGTCCTTTGATTTTCGTTGTCCACGAATATAGTCCCTAGTGTGGATAGTGTGTTACTTGCCAATTTTTTTATACCCCTTCCAAATTTATTTCTTCATGTTGTATGCCTCAAATAGCAAGTAGGGGGATAAAATTACACTGTAAAAAAATTTGATTCATGAATTTTAAAATAAAGTAGTGATTTGGTCCAGCTGGAAAAGGTTAAAAATTAGCATTTCGGAAGCTGTCAAAAGATTTCAAGACCCCCTTAACATAAAATTATCCATATTTTCAGTTAGAGCCGATGAAGTTTTCTATAATTTTGATATAATTTGTCCCAAAAGTAGTACAACACACTGTAAAAATATTATTGAGAAAGCGCAGGTGGGATTTTTTGTATTTCCATTTATTGTCTAAAAGAAATGCACTACGAAATAACTGTGTACTCGGACCATTTAACAGGTTAATAAAAAAAAGTTAATAAAAGGTTATTCTATATTATTTGGCATTTTATTCAACATATATAACAACATATCATCTTTTGGGGCTAAATCTCGTATTTTATTATTAATCGATTAGAGAATGTCCATAGCTTTAAAGTCACACCTGTTTATATAAGCTCATGCATGATCGTAAAGACTGAATATGGCTAGAAAAAAATCAACCAAGAAGTGTTTTGATTGTTTACTCCGTCTTATTAGAACAGGTGATTTTTTTTATTCTTTTACCATTTGTTTCCTATGAATTAACGAAATACGTTTTTATGTTATAAATAATATCATTTCGACTTCCAGCTCCCTTTAACAGATATAAAGGCAATAATGGATTTACGTAGACGAATAGCAGTTGATACAGCCATAAACATCAGACAGGTATCACTCTTTAACGATGTTTTTATTTTCAAATAATTCTTTTTGAATTAATTTGTTTTTAAAGCTCTTCAACTTCCTTACAAATCTTGCCTTCTTCTGATATGATTCCAGCGCCAGTAGTGAGTGTTTTGTAGAAAAAATAAAAAATACAGAACACTAAAACCCTAAACAAAAGAACACTGCAAAACTTTCTTAATGTGATTTATCATCTTGAAATTAACTTATAGTTTGTCAAAATGAGCAAACATAATGACATCATTCTTCAAATTACATGATTGATTGCTTAATGTATCAAATTTTAACTTGATCTTCTTATGAATTTCCTGAGATACGAATATTTTGTTTTAAAGAGAACTCGTATTTGTTCACATAACATTTATGGAAATTTTGTGAATGAATATTAATTGATCTATATCTCTTCCTGATGATTCGTACAAATGATTTTTATTTTTCTACCTAAGAACATACCAAAGATGGACAAGTTTCAATCAGAGCTGACCAAGTGTTCATTTAAAAAGGACAAGTTACTTAAACAAATATACGATACTCCTTTTTACGGTAAATGTGTATATTTATGCTGGTGTATGACCTTAGAGGAGCCCCCATTGTGTTTAGACAAAGAACCACCGAAAGGATCAGTCGTTGACAAAGATTTATATAGAGAATTTACCAAGGGAGGAAAAAGAATTGAATATTGTGTATGGCCACCATTACTTCTTAAGGAGGATGGCGAGATTCTAGTAAAAGGAATTGTACAAGTTCGTTGAGTAAATGTACAATCAGACGAGGGAATACTACCAAATAAAGCTAATAAAAGAGTACAATGTTATCCTTTTTACCATTAAATGGTATAGATAGCCCCATTTCCAATTTGAAAGATAACATTTTTTTATTACAAAAAGAGGAACTACTTGAAGTCTTGTTGACTTGTTTCCTGTATGATACAAGGCAGTGTATTTTCTATAAATTCTTAGACTAGTTTATTTCCCTCTTTGTTTTTCCCAATTACTTCCATTTGTGCTTTATCTTTCAATGAAATTATCTGAACCTCTTGTTAATAAGAAGCAACATACTTTACCAATCTATTTTGAATACTCGAACCAAAAGCAAGAAGTTCATGAGCTACTGACAAGTGGCAAACAGGTGTGTCGATAACAAAAGTGTTTCATGCTTTACATGTATAACCTACCTTTAGCAAGTCTAGACTCGGTCACAGTTAGGACACAATCGGTTGATTACAAATGTAAACTGCTGTCTCTAAATATAATAGATTGTTTAAATAAATCTTTTTTCAGAAATTTCAATTGACAGTTAATCTATTTTTGGATAATTAAAAATTTTCTTTTTTTCTTTCAAAGAAGTAATAACATAAACGGTATCAATTTGATTTATTGCACCAGATGTGATTTTGACAATTAATGTCTTTTCGTTGATACTCCAGGCCAAACGTTTTGAAAGTCCCAAACCTAATGCAAACGTTGAAAAGCTGATTAAACAAGAAAGGGTCAATATTAACCCAAACCAGGACAAGGAATCAGGGCTATGCATGAGGGAAATGCCTTCCTTATTTTTAAATGATTTAGAAATAATATAACAGCAATTTTAAATGAAACACTATACACGTGTGTATAGGTTTGATCCAATTCAATTTTAGCCGTCGTATATGATGCGACTGTCATACAAGTGAGAGGTTTAGCTAGCTATAAAACCAGGTTCAATCCACCATTTTCTACATAAGAAAATGCCTGTACCAAGTCAGGAATATGACAGTTGTTATCCATTCGTTTGATGTGTTTGAGCTTTTGATTTTGCCATTCGATTAATTAGGGACTTTCCTTTTTGAATTTTCCTCGGAGTTCAGTATTTTTTGTGATTGTACTTTTTTGTAATTACCTTTGATTTAGATAAAAATGAAATTAAATGTAAGTTATTAACATTCTAATATCATATTATACGATCCTTATATATTGTATACAAATGTAGGGGAGAACAAGCAAGGGTCAGTCTCATCATACAATATTGTAGTAAATCTTACTACTGGATATGATTTAAGTCGCTTAGCTGGTTAGGAATAACCTGTCAATCTACCTTGTCCCATCCGTTGAAATATCATATTGCCATGATTACAGAAATCATGTTTGATTTTAGTTTTAGTTAATCTATTTCCATACTAATCAAATTTACTGCACAAAAAAACCATTATGATACACAACATATCACACAAAGAAGAAATAGTTGAAATGCATACGGAATGCACATCTGGATGAACCAATTAAACATTGTTAAATGCGTTAAAAAATATTTCAAAATGTGGTTAGCTTCTCAATCTTATGTCCTCTGGAAATTGACTCTTTATTCATGAAAATTGCTTAACACACTTTCAAAAAGGAATCATGCGTGAATATTGCTTTTTGTGCACTTGATCATTTCTATAATGTTGTCTTTTGTAGTTGTAGGAATTTCACCCGCAATTGCCTCAGATATGTCGATGATTAATTTAGAAGTTTTATGTTTGTTTTTCTTGTGCACGTCAATAGCAGAGTCTACTAACGTATAAATATCAAACGGAATCATCAGGGCGCCAATAATACCGCTGGCCACGTGCAGACTAGTTCCAGTTACTCGTAAAGCAGCACCGGTAATTCTGATTCCAGCTCCAACTCCTCCACCAACAAATCTTGCAGCTGATTCAACATTTGTTATACTTGTATTTATGAGTTCTTCGGTGGTTGTCCAGTTTAATTTGCTAATGTCTGATGCTTGTCCATGTGCGAAAAACATCCAAAAGCGTACCCATTCCGGAAATTTCTTTTCTAATGGTCCAATGTCTTTCAACTTTTGCCCTAGTTCCAAACATGTTTCCTTGATATATTTAATTTCTGAGGAATATGTTGCCAATGCGACCTCTGCGTTTGTCTTTGTTTTTTTTGACAGAACGTTATCTGCAATAAATGACCCCCCAACAGTGGCTCCACCTAATCCAGCGACAACACCACCTGTCAATAATAGTATATGCAAATTATGAGATTGATAAATTTATGTTATTGTTGTTTGTTGTTTATGTTTTCGTCGTTTTTCTTCTTGGCCATGGTGGCGCTGTCTGTTTTATAGAATTTACGAATTTTGATTTCCCCCTTTTTATCTTGTATCTTTTTTGTTTTATCTTATCCATGGTTATCTGTGAAAGACACTCGGTAAAAAGTAAAATAAATCATGATTATCATTCAAATGTTTGTAGAAATATAATCAATAAATTATAGCTCCCATAAAAGCAGCAATTCTTTTCAAACAACACCCTGAAGACACCTAAGCTCTCGTATAATATATACACCCTTTGTGCATAATAAAAGTGCTTGTGAGCAAAGAAGGGTAAAGATTGTTCATGATTATACATTTGCGTCTATCTTTATAACAGATTCGAACACCATGAATTACTTATGTAATTTTCAATAAAGAAAATATTATTCAAATACCCATTATATTACAACTTGAATAACTTAGTATAACATATCACTAATAAATTGTGTGAAATTGACTAGATAGGATCTAAAGAATGATCACTTTACTGTATTATTTGGTTGAACTATCATGGGTAGTGATAAACATTGGACAGATTTAGATATAAAGTCAGTACCATCATTTAAATGTTTGAAGAAATGAAATCAATAAATTATAGCTCCCATAAAAGAAGCAATCCTTTTCAAACAATACCCTGAAGACTCATAAGCTCTCGTATGATGTATCAAGTTGATATATACACCCCTTGTGCAAAATCAAAGTTCTTGTGAGCACTGAAGGGTAAAGATTGCTTTCATATTGCAATTTTGTGAATATAAAATAAAACATTGATAGGCCAAATTTGAGTTGAAGTTATCTTCCTTTGTTCATGATTGTACATTTGAGTCTATTTAAATAACAGATTCGTACACCATGAATTTCTTATGTAATTTCAATATAGAAAAGTTTTCTTGAAAAGTATTGAAATTCAAATACCCATTATATTACAACTTGAATATCTAAGTATAACATATCGCTAAAAGAATTGTGTGAAATTGACTAGATAGGATCTAAAGAATGATCACTTTATTGCACTATTTGGTTGAACTATCATGGGTAGTGATAAACATTGAAAAGATTTAGATATCAAGTCAGTACTATCATGCAATCTTTACCCCAAAACTGAAACTTATGCAATGAGATATCTTAGCAATCCTTTTGGCGAAAATGATTAACCTAAATCAACCCCGATGTCGATTCGATATTTAAAATATTCAACATAAAAAAAATGTTTATGGAATATCCTTCATCAGATACGTTCACCATCGCTACCAAAAGTTTGGAAACGTGAAACTTTAAGAGCGTTAAACGAAAAGTTTACAAAAAGTAATATCCAAGCTTTTTATTGTATAAGCAGTAAAAGCGTATCAAGTATATAATATTTATTTAATTTTCAGTGGGAGCGATGCGAGCAACAAATACAACACCTTTCAAATATTGAAATTGGTTATCAAAGGTACCAGGCTTATAATTTGATACGCCAGACGCGTAAGAAGTCTGCATCTTACTAATAAAAAAAAAAACAATCGACTATCACCAATAAAAGGACCACCAAGTGAAACAAATAGTGTGTCATTACAAGTTAGAATATTAAAAAAAAAACACTATAAATTGCATGCTTCCGAAGCGCTTTTCTAGATTAACATTCATCAGGAATGTCCATAGCCGAATATTTGAAAGCCAATGATGTATAAAGACAACAACAGTTGAAGAGTTATATGACCAAAAAAGACTTAACAATTATAGCCAAATCCATCGAAGGTCACCTTTGCATGAGGGAGTGGACACTTTAGTATCTTCATTTTCAAGCATCTTGTCTTCCTGTTTGAATGATTTTACACTAGTCATTTTTGGGGCCCTTTATAGCTTGCTGTTCGGTGTGAGCCAAGGCTCCGTGTTGAAGGCCGTACTTTGACCTATAATGGTTTACTTTTACAAATTGTGACTTGGATGGAGAGGTGTCTCATTGGCACTCATACCACATCTTCTTATATCTATTCGAGAGTCACTGATGAGTCTTTTGTAGACAAAGCGATCTTTGGCGTACAAAAATTTAATCCTGGAGTTTATTTGTACCATCTCTGGCGTGTCTGAAACAGTAACAGTAGTAAAAAGGTGAAGTTTAGGAGTCATTTTGATAATTTCTTTGAAGTTTTGAGACACCAAAGGCCTCCTTGCTTTGATTCATGATAAACCACAAGAAGTAATTTTTCGGTTATGTACCCACTTTTCCTTTCTTGGTGTAAATCTATAGCGTTACTAACGACGCACGTTTTATCCCGCCTTCCGCTTAAGGTGTGCGATATCGCATTACTCGTCTTAAAATTTAAGCCAATTTAATAGGCAAAATATGTTTATTTTTTAAGTTGGCTTACATTTTGAAGAAAAGTGCATGCTTTCTCGCAGTAACGTTGTCTTATTGCGTACTCACAAACTAGTTTGACTCGGATGATATGAATGGTTAATGTCCTGATTTTCGTCATGGTTTTTCATGTCTTCTTATTAATTAAGAATTTGGTGACATATATGCTTTATATATATATATATATATATATATAAAACATGATACGTATTTATTATAAGGTTAAATCCTAACTATCCTACTGCCTGTCGATACTTTTGTTTTGGCATTGCACAAGTCATGTCTTCTTAGACTGTCTATGGCGTTAAAACACTAAATCCCTAGGATGTGTGTTATTTGATTTTAGTCTCTGATGCATGATTTTTTATTATTAATTGTTTTTGGCTTTTAACTAGCTTTCATTAACTGCGAGTACTCTCAAATCATACTTTTGTGTTAATTTGACCTGTTGACACAATTTGTAATCCATTTATGTTATTCAATATTTACTTATTTTGTGTTATATCTCGTCTTACTATTTTTAATATGTACCCCCTTTGATAAGTATTTAGTATGACGATAAATTTTCACTTCTGTACTATGAACAACAAATTTATTTATTTTGTAAAAAATATTTCCGTACTCCTAACACCAAAAATTATTATATTCAAATTTACCTGTGTACATTATTATATTTAACGCCATTTTGTCTCAGGGTAGAGTTGTCTTTTTGACATTGATTTACATCCCGTTTTTTTTTTATCATAATTGTATTTATATTGTGTCATAGATCTAATTTATTCGTTCATTGTATATTTACTTGTTTTTGTTAATATGTCTTTTTGATCGAGTTAAGCCATTTCAATTGTGTTTATAGTGTGTCTTTCTATGTTGTTATGTTACACTACTGTTTCATGTTATGGTGTAGGTTTGCGCCTGTTAAAACGTTTAAACCCGGTGCATTTGTTTGCACCTTTCCTAAGTCAAGAGCCTGTGGTTGTCGTTTGTTGATGTGGTTCATAAGTGTTTCTAGTTTCTCGTTTTTTTATATAGATTAGACCGTTGGTTTTTAATTTCGTAGGTGGTGACCAACTAAACTGTTTCAATAGCAACAAAGCTCATATAACATGCTATAGTAGAAAAACAAAAGATATGGGGTATCCATCCATGACACAAAATCAGTAAATGCACAACAAAAAAACATACAAAAAGCAAAGGAACAGCGCTTTTATTGCTGTTCTTCATCTCAAAGTCACATTGAGACCTCAACACGGAGCTAAAAAACTCTCACCTCACTGCAAGTTTAAGACAGCCCCTAGCACCGGCTTAAGCGGAATTCTTTTCAAAAATAATTTGGATAGATTTTGTAAGATGTAACACCACCCAATCGGGCCCGGTCGAAAAAGAACATACTGGAAAGTAGTACATATTTAAAACGAAGTAGTTCTTACGCACAGGTGTAAATCTGAAACTATGTAGCATATATTTCAGTAATTAAAGTATCAGATGAAAGGTGAAGGACTGGTGATCCTTGTAGAGCACACAATTTACTGATAATTTTAAATAATACAAAAATGTATGATTGAATTCTAAAATTGAGAGCATATATAGCCTGTTTCTCAGATATGAAGTGACTGGTTTGGTGTATTCAAAATTCCGGTAACCAGTGCAGTACGGTCTGATGTATAAATACAGGTATATTGATCCCTCTTCCATAAAATGTTATGAAGTGAAAAATTTAACGTGGATAGGAATGAGGGCCAAGAATAGGTGGTGTGCGTCCTATTAAAATTTTAGTAAATAAACTGTCCTAAAATTGAGAGAATGATGTGGCACACATATAAGAGAAGTTATCCCAAGAATAAATAAACCATAACTTTAAAAATACAGAAGAGCCAATAATTATAGGACAATGACCTAAAATATGGTGTCGTCGTTGTTGGCGTCAACAATTGCTAAATTTACGATTTACGAAAAACAAATATGATAGACATGAACCAATGACAACCAATGAACTACAGGCTCCTGCCTCAAGTTAAGTTAGTTTGATAGGAACTACTTGTGACTCGCAAGCACGGGAACGCACAAAAGAAAAAATAAAAAAAAAAATCACATGTTATCACATTTTCGAATTCCATAAACATGTTAGCTATGTTTGAGCATGTAAGCTGGTGGGTAAACAAATGATATATTCTAACTAAATTGATTCGTTTAGAAAGAGCCACATGTTCAACTATATATACAGTTATAGCCTTTGTATGAGGTTGATACTTATCAATTATGGACTTTTGGCGAGGTCAATATGTTATATATGGACATGTTCATATTATATTGACCGAGGACACAGTATAATCTAACAGGTCCATATATATCGTATTGACTGAGTGAAAAGTCCTTAATTTTTATATTACATGTGTAAATAATGTATTAGGGAAATGGACTTCAATGTTCTTTCTGCGTATTTTTTAGTTGTATTTTGCAAGATTTTTCACATGCCATTGAAAATATCAATAAATAAGATGAACTCGTTTTATTGTAAACAAACACACAACATATTTTTTTTTTCTGTTTATAACAAATAGGAATTCAAATTATATAATTTTCGACTGCTGCGGTGCTTCTCTCGTGATTGTTATGTGTGACGTCATAACGTAGAGTAATTTCGGAACGGAACGGCTTATATCCGGATCTAAATTTAGCAAGATTTTTAATATTGACCGTCAATGTACATATAAATAGAAACATAGCGTCAATATACTTAAAAATAGAAACAAGGCTTCAGATGCATAAAATAACCTTTGAAACATGTGATCGTAATAACCAATGAAAAAAGTAGAATGCTACACCATATGTAATATAAGGATATATTGACCTGAAAGAAGTATATTGACTGAGGACGAAGCCAGAGGTCAATATACTTCTTTATGTCGATATATCCTGTATTGACCTCATGCAAAGGCTATAATTGTTATTTATTAAATGATATGAGCAAATCAGCCCTAATACGGATAAATCAGCATATGGAATACTGATGACGTTGCCCTGTTGATATAAATCAAAAGTTCATATTGCATTTCGGACCGGTCCAATACGGAAAAAAGCCGAACGTTCACGTCCGGTTTCAATTTTCTTATGCCTAAGCTTACTTAACTTTGGACGTTTCGTTCTGCATAAAATCCATTTGTATCATATTTTTTAAACTTAAAATAACATAAAAAAAGTTTAAAGAAGTTCAGTGTTTTCTAACGTCTTGAAACGGAAATATTTCACAGCCTTTTCGAGTAAAACTTTCGATTATTATCACTGTTTCATTTCCGTTGATCAATTATCATCAGAATGCAGACGATTCAATGTTAAAACTGTCTGATTTATTCTTCCAAGCTGCATAATATATGAATTGTAATAGCATAAGATTAAGTACTTGGACGAGAAATCATGAATTACATCAATGTTGACAAAATATCCATCGTGACTGCGCAAAGACAAGTTCAGATATGAATTTCTGTATCTTCTTCACGGTAAGTTTCTAATTTTGATCAAAGAATTAAAATTATTTAATGAAATTGTTATGAACTGGTTGTTTCTGTATTTACGCTGTTATAGATTCTCGATCAGATGTATTGGCCCTCGACTCTTCGAGTCTCGGGTCCCATACAGCGTACCTTGAATTTATAGGTTGCACTTTGTAAATACAGCTGTTTCACAACTCACGCCTCTTTTGGGGAGATATATAATATTCATAGATATTTTGTTTTGTTTACGTACTGGTTCCCAGATATGATCTCTGTGTTTCATCTCATATAGACATAACTTGGGAATGTTACCAGCATAGAAACACATGGTAGCGCCGACAATTTAATTCTGATGAAAACCTGAAGTGAAGGTAGGGGTAGTACAGAATTTTATTATAAGTTTAAACTCTTATAAATTCAGGGCATTTAAATGTTGAAAATATGCCGCACAGCCCTATATTTTGACCTTTGAATAATATGTAGTGCATATCAACTTTCAGTTCTAGGATATAATTTTTTACGAAACTTCATAGTTAAAGTAGCACAGTTTTAACCTCAAAGGGAGTTCCTATGGGAAATTGAATTGTATATTTACGGAATTGCAACCTATATTGGGTAAAAAAAGAGAACATATAGGATTTCACCAAATCTGGTTTATCTCAAAGATTTAAAGGAAATTATCTCAAAAATAAAGTTTTATAAATATTTCATGAAGATTGAGAAAATCCAGGGCCTTAACTATAATGACTCAGCATAAATTCACAGTTTACAGTATGCTTAGTTTACTTAAAGACCTGAATGCAAAATAAATTCATAATATATGTATATTTGTAATTTAAATTGTTTATAAGTGCTTATATTTACTCTTCGCAGTCATTAAAACTCATAGATCCTTCATGAATTTTGTTGTTGGGGTGTTTTTGTCCCGTCGATAACCCACAAACAAATAAATGTGTTTTTTTGTGATCGCGGCATAAAAAATACAAGCTAGAGATACAAAAATACCTAAATAAAACTAACAATAGTGTGTTCTATCCTAAATATGTAATCAATATTTCATATTCACAGAAACAGCAGAATCATTTAGCATATTTGAGGCCCCAGTGGCAAAAAACAGAGAAAAATGCCTACCCCCTGGGTCATAAAACAGATAATGTAACTTGTAAATGCTATGAATTTATTATTTTAAAGGTCTTTTCTACAGAATAAAGTAACTGTGCTTTGAAATTATGCAAAAAACAGATGTTAGCAGTCAGTTCTATAAAAAACATTTAGTGAATTCATGCATCAGACTGGTCACTTCATACATACAACTTTTTAAAATATGGCTTTGTTTAAATACTTTTAGTTCATATATTAGCTAAATTATGTTAGATATATGGTTAGAGATTATATTGTTGTGACAAGATTTCTATACTGACCATTTGAGGCAGAAATTGAGAACTTTTATTGACAAATAGGCATACAGTAAGATGTGGACTGGAGACAAAGGCAGGATTTGATACGTTATATAATCTTGAATGTTGGAATGATTAACTACTAAACTTTACATTTATAGTATTCTGAAATGCTTTCATATTGTTATCAGAATAGTTTCAAACAGCTTCTAGACATTTCATGTCAGAAAGCATGCACTTAGGGTAAGCTGACAATAATAACAGTCTTGTTTTCAAATTCTTAAAAAAAAAGAAACAGGGGTAGGGGTATAAAATGTACTGTAAAAGAAAAGTAGAGTGTATGCAGTGTTTCTTTAAGGCTATAATTCTGATAAATAAATATTGTTGTGAGAAAAAGTGTTTTTCAAGAGTTTTCTATTTGAATAAATGTTAGTATAACAGGTCCAATACAGAAACAGCCAGTTAATAACACCATAATTATTAATTTCGGACCATATTTGTATCAAAATCGTCAGTGCATTATATTCTTAGAGAGAAACTTAACAATATCGTGAAATTCGTTAGATGACGTCACAAAGTATATCGGTTTTTAGATCTTCAATATAACTTTTCTATCCGCCGTTTTCAATCGACTTTTGAAAATATAGTTTAACATGTACTATTCCTGAACGAATGAAATTAGTCAAAATACATTAAATATACAAATTAGTAATATTTTCAATTGTAGATTTCTGAAAACAGAAGATAGAAAAATGATATTGCACGGTTATTTTTAGAATATCTTACACAATCGAAACAATCAAAGCAATAACTGTTAAGACAAAATAATGTCATTTCCTAGCACTTGACATCATCAACTGTGACTTATCACCGAATCTTGATTTGCCATGGCAACACGACGGCTGCTCTATTTGAGCAGGAACTTATAACCCTTCTGGATGTCATCATTGAGTTTGGTTTGGACTTATTTCTAAATATATAGTTTTCTGTGAAGTGTAAGTATGTGTCCTTTTGTTTGCAATTGCGTTCTTTTTCTCTTTGTAATTTCGACTAATGGACTTTAATTGCCTGGCTAAGATGTTTAAAGTATTTTGTTTATTAATTTAACGCTGTCTTTCATTTTTGTCGAGCCTTCGACTTTAGTCGAAAAAGCGAGACATAGCGATCCTACATTCCGTCGGCGTCGTCGTCGTCGTCGTCGTCGTCGTCGGCGGCGTCCACAAATATTCACTCTGTGGTTAAAGTTTTTGAAATTTAAATAACTTTCTTAAACTATCCTGGATTTCTACCAAACTTGGACAGAAGCTTGTTTATGATCATAAGATAGTGTCCAGAAGTAAATTTTGTAAAAATAAAATTCCATTTTTTCCGTATTTAACTTATAAATGGACTTAGTTTTTCTGCCAGGAAATATTACATTCACTCTGTGGTTAAAGTTTTTAAAATTTTAATAACTTTCTTAAACTATCCTGCATTCCAACCAAACTTGGACAGAAGCTTGTTTATGATCATAAGATAGTATCCAGAAGTAAATTTTGTAAAAAAAAAAATCCATTTTTTCCTTATTTTACTTTTAAATGGACTTAGATTTTCTGCCAGGAAACAACACATTCACTCTGTTGTTAAAGTTTTTAAAATTTTGATAACTTTCTTATACTATTTTGGATTTGTACCAAACTTGGACAGAAGATTGTTTATGATCAAGAGCTAGTATCTAGAAGGAAATTTTGTAAAAAAATAAATCCATTTTTTCTGTATTTTACTTTTAAATGGACTTAGATTTTCTGCCAGGAAACAACACATTCACTCTGTGGTTAAAGTTTTTAAAATTTTAATAACTTTCTTATACTATTCTGGATTTGTACCAAACTTGGACAGAAGCTTGTTTATGATCAAATGCTAGTATCTAGAAGGAAATTTTGTTTTCTTTTAGTTAACATTACATTCAGTCTGCAGTTAAAGTTTTTAAACATTTATTAGATTCATAAACTATCCTGGATTTTTACCAAACTTGGACAGAAGCTTCTTACAATCAAAAGATAGTATCAAGAGGAATATTTTTATTGATTTACTTCCTCATTTTTGTTGAGCCTGTGATTAACAGAAAAAGTAGGCGAGACACTGGGTTCCGCGGAACCCTTACGAATTTTTTATACGTATATCTTTTTTTTTCTTCTAAATTCTTTGATCACTGCAGCAGAAGTCATATCACAGAAATTATATATAATACATTATAATTTTATGTTACCTGCAATAGACAGACCAAGCGATGCTCCAAATGTAACTGGTGTCAGTGCAAGACCAACAATGCCCAACACACCGCCTACAATACCCGCTGCCGAACCACCTATCTTAGTTTTGCTTATTCTTGAAAAATGTACATTGAGTTCTTCGGCCAAGGTTTTTAAAGTTTTAATGGCAGTTTCGCTATTCCTAACCCATTTTAAAAGTGTTTCCTCGAAGTTTTTCATCTCATTTCTAAGTTGCTGCCTGGAAACATAAAAGCTATCAATTATTGAAGGTAAGCTGCTCGTATTAAATGTAACGATACTTTTTGATATGAATAGAAAGAATACGGAGTATATGTAAAAAAATTAAGCAACTCAACGACACAAATAAGTAAAACAGAAATTTTTTAATAGAAACATCCAGTAAACATGCTTTTTTGTCCCTCATATTTGTTTGATCAACGATTTTACATAGAATGACTATTAGTTTGACCTCAGTTTTCTGCTTTCAGTGTAAGGTTTAGATTTTTTTATGTGTACTATTTTAAAGTAAAACTGTCATTTATTGTTATCTACTAGTGACAAATACTCATGCATGTTCAGGACGAGATAAAAAAATGTTTAATGTAGATTATGTTGCGTTGGTGGAAAAAGATAAGGGTGGAAAATTCAGATTGCCACTTGAAAATAAGGTATCTATGATAGGAGTAAACATTATGTCTTGCATCAGGTCAATTACGGAACCGTCAAATAATTGTTGCACGGATTCAATAATGTCCACGAGACATCGTTTTTCACCTCCCAGTGCCGATATCACGTGACTGCGTTTTTGTACATACCACAGAGGCATCCGTCGTTTGCATTGGTTTGACCACCGGTTGTTGTAAAAATGAATAACACCCTATAGTATATATAGTACTAATATAATTCGTTGTTGAATGTCATATGATATTTATGCGTAATAGGTCAACAGGATTTTCATTTTAAGCAAATAAGGTATGACTGCCCATTAACAATTGTCCATCTAAGAACAAATGACGTAGACGTCAGCAATCGTAGGTAACCGAAAGGCTTTCAACAATTAGCAAAACCAATAAGTAAAAGAAAGATAGTAAAGGTCAAACATGACTAATAGTAAAATGTTTCAAGTAAGAAAAAAGGCCCGATTTATGAAAAAAAAAAATATATGAACATCAAATATGACAGCCAGCATCTACCAACAACCACTGAATTACAAGCTCTTGGTTTTGAACAGGCACATACATAATGTTGCGGAGTAAAACAGGTTTGCGAGCGCTCAACCCTTTTTCCTTATTTTGTGACAGTGGTATACCGGCGCAACATAACAAAAAGCTGTAAAAATCAGACTTGTCATATTGACACGAAGCACAAAAACTGACAATAAGACAAAAGACACAAAGTACTAATCCAATAGTACTCGAAATTACTAAAAGCTATGTTTAAAATTTACATTCGCTGTCAGAGTTTGTTTCGTCGAAAATGCAAAAGGGGAAAAGTTCTGCATTATCACACAACATAGTGTTAGTCAATTCATTTCACTTGTATTTCTAAAAGCATACACAACAAATCAGTCAATCATTGGGTTTTTTCTTGTCCCCAAAAAATACATAGCACAATATTTTGATTCAATCCTAAGTGCAACACATAGTCTTATTTATACAGAGAAAAGTATTGGATACACAATTTTAAAGAAAACAGACTTCTTATATATACATATATATGTGAGTGTTACTTACATACGCGGGTCTTCGGTGTTTACCGCTTCGTTACCTGTGTTTTCAGGTAGGTTGTCTCGGTTTTGAGGTTGCGTTTCTTCTCGATAATTTGGGATTGCTACAAAAGCAACATTTCTTAAAATTTATTTGCCCACTTGATTTTTTCATGCGTTTATTATCTAATATTTGTAGAAAAAGGTGCGGTTGTGTAGGAATGAAGTAGCTAAGATAATTTTACAGTACTTTGATTGCATCATACTCTATTGAAAATTTGCTAGTTGGGTACAGAAAATAACGGTACCTTATTTATTCCACCCTCGTTTGAAAGTTAGCAGTATGTTATAAATAGAATTGGTTAGTACTTGTTAGTAATCTAGACGATGAAATATACATTACTACATTATTATATATTCATTGTTTCCATAGTATCTTTTGATAAAGAATGATCTATATTTTAGATAAGGAAGGAGAGGGGAAAAAAAAAGAAAAAAACACAGAATATGGATTTTTTGTATAAACAGTACATATATGCACAACGAAAATGTGTCTTACATACATAATTCAATACACTTAGCAAGAATGGTTTTCTTTCGTAAATTTTTTACAAGCACTTAGAATTCGGAAAACATATATCTAGTTATAAGCCCAAAAAAAAAAAAAAACGAAACAAAAAACAACAAAACAACAATGATAGAAAAACGTATATAAATATAATATATAGAAAATACATGTAGGTGGTGGTGTGGTTAAAATTTACTTTACCTTTTAAGGCTAAATACGGTAATGCTAAGTTCTTCTAGTAAAAACTATTCTAGTATTAGAAGCCAGGTCTTCCAGAAGATATTGGCCATGTGAAAAGGCTTACTTTAACAAAAAAATAAATTCCTTTTTAATATTTTAGTATTTTTCACTGAGATAATTTTTGAGTCTTCTAAAATTAACTTGATTTTCACATTTCGTTCCAAAAATAAAGCATTTTGTAAAGAGTATTTTTAATTTCTTTATCTTATCATTTCTTGTTTTTCCTAAATTTCCAAATAAAATAATGAAATGGTATCCGTGTTTAATAGAGTTATCATTTGTAGGTACTATTTCCTAATACAAAAAACCTATTGAAATTTATACCTCTATCTACATTTCTTCTTTCCCTTGTCGTCTTTTGGTCGATAAAATGTCCTTTTATTATCAGACTTGACACAAAGGCTGCGAAAGTAATAAGACAAGATAGAATTACGTTAATGCACATTGTACAAAAGGAACTGTTTGGTTCAAACGTCAACACAGTTTAGCCGTATATGTTACAGTATGGTAGTTTTACCCATATCATAATTGTCGACGTTTAATTAAATAGCATATTCTGTTTTATATCCTTCGTTCTTCGCGGCTTTCCCATTAAAATGTTCTTTTCGTGTTTGTGACGCAGCCAGATTTTTGGTCTGTTTAGATGTTTTGCACCAATCTCTCTGATCTTTTCTATACATGCCTTATTGACTTCATCTTATTGTGGATTGTTTGATTCAATACTGTCTATTCCACTGTAGAATATAAAAATAAGAAGATGCCGTATGATTGCCATAGATACAACTATACACCAAAGTTCAAATAAAGTCGATGTAGACAATTATAGGCAACCGTACGGCCTTCAACAATGAGAAAACCTATACCGTATAGTTGGTTATAAAAGGCCTCGACATGAAAAATATGAAACAATACAATTGAGAAAACTAACCCCTGACTTGGGACAGGCACATACATAATGTGGCAGAGTTAAACATGTTTGAAGGCAACAACCCTCCCCTAACCTCTAACCTTGGACAAAGGTGCCACGGCACATCACAATAACAAACTACATTGAAGTCCTTAAGAATGAAATTATACATTCAATTACATTGAAGGCCGTACGCTCCACAGAGAGTCATATAGAAAATAATTATGTGACTACCACAGCTCAGCTTTAGGCCTCCTCTGAACATTTAAAGGTCCCACTATGTATTGGTTACATAAACTACACAAAAAACCCGTAAAATGTCGTTTCATCTCGGCCCTCTAGTAAGTGTTCTACTATTATCTTATGGTGCTTTTAACGAGTTCCTTAACTACTATCGAAGAACTTATCATAAATTTTTGTAATAAAACATATGAAAATAGTGGAATTAATCATTTTTGGAGTGTACACAATTCTTTGGATGTTTTAGGTGAATTACGTGTTTTTGATGGTCCTTTCACTAGTAATTCGGTTGACAGTTTTGACGTTTCCACTCTTTATACTGCACTTCCACACATCAAATAAAAGTTTTCCTATCTAACTAATTGGTCTTTTGATAAATCTGATTGCAAATTTATTTGCTGCAAGTCATATAAAGCCTTTTTTCTCGAATGAGAAAGGTAGATATGCTAGATATACTTACTGAAGGTGTGATGCGATGATTAAAGCCGTAAATGTTCTTCTTGACAACATTTATGTACGATGGGTGCCACATATGAAGCAGGATCTGCTTACCCTTCAAGACCACCCAAAATTACCTCCAGTTTTTGGTGGGGTTCGTGTTGCTCAGTCTTTACTTTTCCATGTTGTGTTTTGTGTACTCTTTACAGTGTTTGTCAGTTGGTGTTTTTCTATTTTAGCCATGGCGTTGTCAGTTTTTTTTTCGACTTATGAGTTTGAATGTCCCTTTGATATCTTTCGCCTCTCGTTTACTCTAAATTCATTGGATGTTGGATGTGTACTGATTGATATTATTGTTTACCCGGATCATATCTAAATTTCCGGGCAAAAAACGAAATATTAAAAAAAAAACAAAAAACAAAGTGGATTATGGAAAAAAAAAACATCTCTTAACTAAATATTATTTTTTTCACCTAACGTTGATTTAATAATAACTATTCTGAAATAGGAAGCCATGGCTCCCAGCAGATACTGGTAATGTCAAGTTGCTTATTTAAGAAAAATCTTTCATTAAAGAAGAATCTCTCGAAGAAAACTTCTAATTCCTGTAAATTTTAATTGATTTTCACTAAGTTTTGTTCTAAAAAACAAAGAATCGTGTCAACAGTATAAAGATTTTTTTTATATCAAACTTTCTTGTTCTTCTAAATTTCCAATTATATATACATAAATGATATTTACATTAAGTGAGATAATTGTTATACATCCATTCACTCAGTGTTCTCCATAGTTCTGATTTTTTGTGGCATGTCCAATATATAAGTACCAAAATATCTTTTTGGGTAAAGTGTTAGATCATATCTAAATATTAATATAAAATCTCAGAATAAGGCTTTTTTGGCAGATTTTGATATTTTTGCACGTATTGTTTTAAGCCTTAAATATGTTAGACAAAATTCAAACTATAAATACTGATATCTGTAAGACTAATATCTTATGAGCATATGAGTGATATTGCATGTACATGATCGATTTTTGATGATTCTAATATTCGAATTCAATGGGCTTACAACAGTGGCAAAACTGATGTCGCGATAACAACAGAAAAAAAACTCTTAAAG